GGGAGTTGAAGTCCACTCATCTTAAAGTGGCCAAGTTTGGACAACACTGCTTTAGACAATCCAAAATGAGATTTTTTTTGTTTTTGTTTTGTGGCTTCGAGTCAGTGTTGACTCCTGGTGACTGCCCTGACAAGTACCTGCAGTTTTCTTGGAAAGTTTTTTTGGAAGAGGTTTGCCGTTGCCTGCTTCCTAGGGCGGAGAGAGAGTGACTGGCCCAAAGTCACCCAGTTGGCTTCATACCTAAAGGTGGGACTAGAACTCACAACCTCCTGGTTTCTAGCCTGGTGCCTTAACCATTACACCAAACTGGCTCTCAAAATGGGATATAGTGCTGATTTAATAATTTGTATCTAATCCTGTTGGTCCACATTCATTGGGCACAAATTGTGGCATTTGACTTCAACACATTTGATTTCTAAACTAGATGATGAATGCATTATATTATCTGAATTAAAAATTTTGGAAGACCAGCTATAGAAGAACACCAATACAAGCCCGTGTGGTACAGATTAGCTGATCCTTAACATTTTTTAATTATTTCATTATGTAGTTCCTGGTTTAAAGAGATGTAATGATTGAAGTAGGAACTGCATAGAGGAATTTCAGGATTGAATTTGTTGTTTCATGATTGGAGCAATTTAATGTTCTGATTCACAGACTGTGCTATGTTATGGTTTAATTATAATTCTTTGAATAAAGTATAATTGGCCACATTTAGGTAACATTCTAATATGTAAACTCTGGTTTACAGATGGCAATGTTTCAGTTTGTATAACTTGCTAACCCAAAACTAAACTATTCACATTGGCATTGGCAATGTATGAAAACATACATGCTGTTACTAAGTTTCATGATGTAGCAACTAAGACTGCAATCCTAAAAATTCACTAGAGAGAAAGTGTCATTGGCCACCATGGGATTTATTTCTGCCAGCCTGTGTAGAATAGTGCTACAATTGCCTGGTTCAAACAGGATGGATGTGGCAAGGGAAGAACCATAGCTTCATGAATTGTGCACATATCTTGTATCAAGAAGGACCACATCCAATCCTTAGGATCTCTTGAGAAGAAACAAGTAATCAGGAAAATCAAAGAGCTACTACCAGTTAGATCACAGATGGGTAAATAATGCCCACACCGGGTCCCAAAATGACTTCCTAATCACATTGGTGAAATTTAGCAGTTCAATTTAACAGATTTTTTTGTATTGAGAACATATTTTTTGGGTGGCTTTGGAGTTTTAAGCATCTTTCCTAAAGTTTTTTTTTTTAATCATTTCATTTTTTCCACATGTCATGCTCATTTTTTTGCCCAGGTTAGATGGCCAAATAGTCTGACCTGGTATGAGGCAACTTCCTGCCTTTCTAACATCAGCTTTCACTAAGATGAAATAAAATGTATTTATATAATTAAATACTACCAATTTATATTCACTATAACCTTGTGATGAGTGTGGCTCTAGTTCCTCAATCACAGTTCGTTGCTAGAATTGCTGGTGCTGCAAAAATGATTTCTAGGAAGATCACCAAGAATAATATTCTTGCCTTTAGAACTTCGGAGTGATTGGTATAATTATTTGTGCGATTTATATCCTGCCTTTCCTTCAGGAATTCAAGGTGACATACATAGCACTTGCTCCTCCTGTTTTTTCCCCACAACAACCCTGTGAGGTAGGTTGGACTTAGAGAGAGTGACTGGCCTGAAGTCACCCCATGAGCTTCCATGGCTGAGGGTAGATTTGAACCTGTGTGTCTGCGATGCCAGCCTCATACCTTAACTGCTACAATACACTGGCTCTCTTTTATCTCAACTGTTGTCATATGTAACTTCAACCATCTTCATTGGCCAGTTCATTTGAACCATGTAGAGTTGTGAATATGTTTCTCTTCCTTTGATTGCTTATGTGTCATCAAAATGTTTTCGATTCCTAGCGACCAGATAGATTTTCTCCATGATGATCTATCCTTAAATAGATCTTTCAGGTCTTCCAATGGTGCACTCATTGCCTCCATAACTGAATCCATCCATCTTGCTGCTGGTCATCCTCTTCTTCTCTTTCCTTCCTTCCACCTTTCCCAGCATTGGAGCCTTTTCTGGAGAACTAAGTCTTTGTATAATGTACCCAAAGTAGGATGGTGATGTATCCCTATCAGTACTGTTTGTAAATGAAACGTCTGACCTGATAGGGTACTGCAACTACCAGAAAGCTAAAGTATTATGTGAAAGCCTCAATTCTGAAACAACTTTTTTACACTTGAATGAAGTACATGCAATATGTTTAGAATTGTATAAGACTGCTTAGGACTTTGACCTTAAAGTTGATGCTAAATGTGAATATGTAAATCAGCTGAGAAGTTGCATAGTAAAGTATGAAATTTTAATATGTCTTATGATATTACTGGCTTTGTGGATCCAGTAGATCATGATTGGTGCACAATATGGCAATACATATGTAAATATAGAACACTGATAGGTATTTATTACTGATAGAACTTGTAGGTGATAGATTTAGGTGCTACTTTTGTATAAGAGAAGCTTAACAACTGTCTTTAAGGTATAAAAACAATGTGTTGAATGTTGACTATCTTACTGTTCTCTCTCCAAAGAAGTGTATTATTGCAGGCAAATAGCTTTGATTCTGGACACTCAGTCACAAAGAGTCCAGCTTTATGTCTGATTGCAAAACAAAACAAACAAAATCTAGAGGGAAGCTGGGAAAATGAAGAGATTAACTTAATTATTAATTGACTCTTATTTTCACAGTGGGGTGTCAGAAGTACACAAATAAAACTTGTGAGGAATGTCTGAAAAATGTCACAGTAAGTAACACAATTGCTTGACATTTGTTCTGTGATGAAATCCTGATCTATGTTTGCTTCATGCTGTGATTTTAAGGGTGGCCTAATCCAGATCCATTCAGATATTCTGATTTGCATAACAAGTTCCTGTGTTATAAACTACCATACCTAGTGTCATAAAAAGTATTTCTGCTTGTGTAATAGAATACATGTACATATTTACCCAGCTTCCTGATTAGGATATCTAATGTACAAATCATATAACTGTCTAGATAGCAGGCTGTTGAAATAGAACCAGGTGGCTATATCTATATATTTTATTTGTCTAGGAATGATGACGTAATAGACAAAAGTCTTAATAATTTTCAAGTAGAATTGTTCATGTGATAAGTTAAATGCATTATTTCAAGGGAATACTGCATTTTTCTTTCCTATCATTTGGTAACAGTGTCTTGTACTGCTATAGTGCTTAAAGTAGAGAAATATATTCAGAGCCTAATTCTATTTAGAAACAGTTGAAATTATATAATTATAAGGTTTTAATCTAATCACTGATGCTAAAGAGTGAGGAGAGGAACAACCTTTTCTTTGTTTTTGAAAGTTAAATGTTACTGTATACCATTGTTTCTCAACCTTGGCAACTTTAAGATGTGTGGACTTCAACTCCCATGGCTGGCTGAGGAATTCTAGGAGTTGAAGTCCACACATCTTAAAGTTGCCAAGGTTGAGAAACACTGCCATATACTGAAATGGTCTAATACTAATGAATGCAATCCAGTTTTGTATGTGGGAATCCCCCGTATGGTGCCTAGGGATACCAGTGCACTTGCATATAACTTCCTTGGTGCTAGCTGAGTTCCCTATCCCATCTGACTTTTTACAATTGCTAATTCTTATAACAATAGTAATCTACTGCCATGCTGTAAAGCACCAGCCTCCATTATTATCATTGTTTCCAAGAATGCCTTGAGGTTCCAGATAGCTAAATAGTGTGAGGCATAAGATGGTGAAATGTTCCTCAGCCATAAAATATTTACTCTGTCTTTTATCTGTTTTGCACAATGGATTGCCTAGTGTCAAAAAGAAAGCTAATATCTGTTTTATTTGTTTGATTTATGTTTGTTACCTTTCTACTTAAAAAGGATTTCTAAAAGGTCAAACCAGAATGGTGCAAAAGTAATCTTATTGAATAATAAGCCCAACAAATTTACACTGCAGGTCTGTGTATTCTAACTTGGAAGTCAGTCCCATTAGACTTTATTCTGAGAAATGGGCAGTAAATGTTTCAGTACCTGAGCTGTTAGTTACTAGTGGGCCCCAAGAGTCTGCTTGCTCTGCTCTGCAGAGATATGCAGGTGTGCTAATGAAGCCACCTTCTTTTCAGATGAACAGAGTAAGAGCCAGTGTGTGTTGTGACTTATTTGAGAAGCATACTTTGTTTTTGTTGCTGCTCTGTGATAATCATCTGAAAGGGAGAATGAATTACAGCATCTATTCTTCACAATCCTGTTGCATACATTCAAGATGGTAGAAATGTTTGGTGTGGCACAGGATACATCAGGTCTGAATTTTGGTTCACATCTGGTTGGGATTTACAGAAATTGTAGTCTGAAATTAAGTTGTCTACTAGTATCTAGTATCTATTGGTACTAGTATCTTGTTGCATGATTTGGCCAGATTAGTGTTTTGGGAAGGTCTTACTTTTCTGAGCCTGCTGTTGTTAAATCTCATAATTGTTTGTGACTAATGCTCTGGCAATTCATTCCTACTCATCAGTGTGAAAGACAAAGTAAAAATAGAGAAGTTGAGAGAATGAGTAATCTTAAACAACATTTTGTCCTAGATAGGTTGGAAGGGTGGGAAAAAAGATGAATTAAATGCAAGACATCAGCATGAGAAAGAGTCAGATGCATGACATGTGACATCTTAGTAGTGTGAAAGGGAGACCTGATTATAAAGGAGAACAGAAAGTACTTTATTCAAAGAGAAGCTAGTTTAAGAGGAAAATGGCATAAAAGATGACTGTGTATCAGGGTAGCTTACAGGAAGGTTAAAGGAAAAACATGAAAAATGAAGATGGTCAACTTGTTAAAAAGAATTATGTGAAACAAATATTAGGGGAAAGAAGAAAAAATATGGATTATTTTCAATTGTTTGGAAAACCAATGGGCTAAGATGCCTTTTCACACTTTTGAAATTGAAATGGATAAATTGTTTGGCAGATGTAAAATTGACAATAGTTTAAACTCCAAACTAAGTTTCATACTAGTCCAGAATCAGTATTACAGTTTTGTTGTTTGGTAGAAGCAGGGAAGTTTCCTGTACAAAATCAACATCTAGCAAGGTATTATGCAGGATAGGAATTATAAAAAAAAAACTCTTCAGCAGCAATATTTATTTTTTTATTTTATTTATTTATAGATTGAATTTGTCACTGCCCATCTCATTGAACGACTCTGGGCGGTTTACAAAACAGTTAAAATCAATTAGAATTACAAAATTACAATAATAAATAGAAAATAAATAGATCCAATATTGCTGTTTCCTGCAGTCATTATAATAAGCCCTTTACTGGACCACAGGTTAACAGATGTAATGGACAAATACTTTGCCATGTTACACATGCATACAGTCCAACTGATTATTTTACACATATATAAAATGGTGCTATGCAAGCAAAAAATTCTAGTCACCATCTGAAGGATATTTGGGAATAACAAACACCCTTCCCTTCGTTGATCCATTAAAGTGAGAGTTTACTGTTGTCTTCTGTGGTTTATGTATCAGCTGCTTTGCTTATTTTAAGCATTGCATTCAATAATAAACAGTATTGATACTTTTTAATATTTATTTGAAATACAAATATTTTATCAAAAAGCTGAAATGTATGATGGGGACAAAGTGGATAAAGTAATGGTCACTACAAAGGATGGTAATTTTATAGGCTATATTGCTTTATAGAGTGAGGACAATACTGATGTACTGTTTTGGACAAAGGAACATGTAAAGCTGAAGAATTTCTAATCTTATATGAGAATATGAAAATTGTAATTGTCAGATGATGTACTAATATACACATTAGGGCAATATGAAAAGTTTCAGGCTCTATTAGGAAAGTTATGCAATCTGTGTATGGTACAGAACAATACGTAACTTTGAGTCAGTGTGTTTCAAATAGTGACAACTTAGCTTGGTAACAGATTATTCCTTAAAGAGGTGCCAGCTTTTACAACTACCTGAAAATGAAAGGTGGAAAAGGCTGTCTTGATAAATATTGAAAAACAGGGTGTGCAGCATCTAGTGTGGCTGCACTTTTGTAAGGCAAGGGGCAAGGATTGAACAAAAGTCTTGCTGGAAGTTGAGAAATGCTCTGCTTTAAATTTTCACTAACAACCATTGACAGAGCTCACTTTTTAATTAACTAATCTGACAGTTAAACCTGCCTATTTGTGTGCAAGTTAGAGTTCTTAAATCAAATGTTTCTAAAGTCTTTGATGCCAGATTAGGACAAAAGTATTATTCATTTCTGGAACTTACTTGGACTTGCCCTGCCCCATGGGCACAAAATACTTGTACTGATTAACAGAAATCCTGCTTACCCAAAGGATTACATCAAACTAACTATTTAAATGCTGTTTGCAAGTTTTTATCTATTTGTTTCTCTGTTCTTTACTTTGCAAATGTTCTTGTTTATAAATTCCTGTATTTTTTTCGTAATACTAGTAAAGGTACAAGCTTTTTCAAAATGACCGCTTATTGTGCTCCTTTTTTTCCCTAAAAATTCTGAACTGGATTTTCTTTTTCTCTGCCTATTGGTGTCTCTTGGCATAATATTTGGTAAATTCAGTATTTTGATAAGAAGCATTGCTTAATCGGTTTAATGCATTATGTAGTATAGCCTCCTGTTTTCTTCGTGGGGAAACAGATGCTTCTAAAGGTATGGGACAGAAACTGCATTGGTCACTCTTGCTGATGACCTGTGGCAGGACCTCGATGAGGAGCATGACCCTACCCTGCTGGACCTCTGGGCAGTCTTTAATACCATCAAAAATATCCTTCTGGACTGCCTGCAAGGGATGGGAATTAGAGGCACTGTTTAGTGGTGGCTCTGCTCTTTCCTGAATGGACATCCCCAGTCAGGGTGACAGGGAGGAGGAGGTTGAGCCATTGGGCATTCCAGTATGAGGAGCCCCAAGGCTTGACTCTCTCTTCTATTTAACATCTACATTGAGCCCATTGCCCATTGGTGACCATTCTCAACTAACGAAGATCACTCATCCTTTGTCACATCATGGAATTATTATTATTATTATTATTATTATTATTATTATTATTATTATTATTATTACTTGTGCTACAGGGGCCTGCCCTTGAAGGCCATCTGGAAGCTCCAGCTAGTGTAAATAAAACAGTCTACCTACTTGCATGAATAATTTGTTACTGCCATATAAAATCGGTTCCATGGGAGCTGCACTGGTTACCAGTTAGTTTCTGAGCATAATTCAAGGTGCTGGTGACAAACTATAAAATTCTACATGGCTTGGAGCCTGAACATCTCCAGGATTGCTTACTTGAAATAAAATCTTCCCACCCAAGGCATGCCAGCAGAGAGTATTTGCTGAGGGTTACCACCCCCACATGAGAGGACTTAGAAGTGAGCATTTTCTGCTAGAGATCCCCTATTATAGAATGTCTTGCCACCAGAAATGAGGTTTGGACCCTCACTCTTGATAGTCAGGAAGCTGGTAAAAACTTGGTTTTTAAAAGACAATGTATCTGCGATGAATGCCATATTATGGTGATGACAATTGTGATTTGTTGTTATTGTATTGATATTAATATTATTGTACCATTGATTTTATTACTCCTTGGCTTGTATGCTGCTTCAAGGCACATGACTGAAGCAGCACTTCCAAAAAGTTTGTAATGCATAATAAAGCATTGATTCATTTTTAATTGACTTTTGCAATCTCTCTTAGCTTGTGTTATTTAACCACAATGTTCTCTTCCAGTGTTTATGGTGCAGCAGCAGCAAAAAATGCATGGAGTATCCGGTTCGGAATATCCTCCCTCCAAGTTCTCTTTGCGAGTTGAGCTCTGCACGCTGGGGTGTATGTTGGGGTAAGGGGGTTCTAGAAATATTCTTTTAGTTGTCATTAGCATGTTGTATTTGATACAATAAATATCCTTCCCCCCTCAAATATTTTATATTAATACAAGGTCTGGTAGGATTAACTTCTTATCAGAAGCTTACAGTCTCTTTGCAACATGTATAGCTCAAACTGCCATAGCTTTCAAGGTAATAGGAAGGAAACCTCTTTTAGTAGCAGCCAGCAATATCTCCCAGTTGTATAATACAAATATTTAACGGATTAAATAAAATTGATCAATTGCAAATCAGTATGAATACTAAGACTGTGGAGATTGCACAAGGTGTCACAAATAGGATATGATTGCATTGTATCATTCCCTGCTTGACTGCAGCATTTGGTAACTAGAAAATACACAGCTTCTGGATATGAGAGTTTCAGTTAAAACTTTTGGGGGGATCAGTTGCTACTGAGAATAAATATATCCAATCCTTTTTACTGCAGGGGGCTTTAATCTGCCCCCTCATAACTCATTTATATATTGTATAAGTATATTGTATATATATTGTATAGATTCTCTATGATATAAGCTTTCAGTCTTTGCTTGAAAGAACTTGTCTTTTTAAATAAACAATTAGGACTCAGTGGCAATTAGTTTCCACACTAATTTTTTTGTGTTTAAATATTTCAGTGAATTTTGAAGCACTGATCATTACAATGTCTGTGGTGGGAGGAACAATCCTTATCACACTTTTCGTCTGTTGCTGTTTCTGTTGCAGGAAAAAAAAGAACAGAAAGCAAGTATTTTTGTTATTTTTTAGCATTTTATGTCCTAATAGTAATCAATCAATCAATCAATCAATCAATCTCTCTCTCTTAAAATTTATAGTAATATATTATTAAAAATAATATATAAAATAAAAATAAAATATATTTTAATATATATTTTATTAAAATTTATATATACAATTTTTATTAAAGAATTTTTTGAAAGAATAAAAACAATACACATTTTGA